ATTATAAGTTACTGAAATCAGTTAAGCCTATGTGCCACATTTCTAGGTGATGTGGTGCTGCAAGATGTATTCGGCTAAATAAGTTTTTACAAAATGATTAACAGTGATTGATGCTCATGTGATTATCAGGGAGTACGTAAGTTGTAACCAAGGGGAGTACACTCCCAACTCATGTCTATGATAATGGCTTGAACCTTAGTCAGTGTTGGGGTAAATTCGACATTGATGTTTTCAGTTTGCAGGAAATTTGCTCGACTGCTTATACTGATTATTTGCATGCATGATTGTGTCGCTAAACCTTCAATTAGACTGACAAGGTTTTGAGATAATTACTGAATGAGCAACTGATAGAGAAGCATACTCTAATCATCTGTAGTGATTGAAGATACCGAGAAAACACTATTTAATGATAATTATAAGTCAATTTTTTGACCGACTTTGTTAATAGTTTCATCAATTTTGTCAGTCATATTACGTGATTGTCAAGTCATGACAATGCTTTATGACGATATCCTGAAACTATTATGTTTAACTAGTTATAGTGTTGATTGAGGATGAGACAGTGGAAAAGTAGGTATTGTTGCTTTAGGTGATTCGAAATTATCAGAAATCTGTAACGTTAAGGAATCCGACCTGCCTAATTATATTATAAATTTCAATTCAAAAATATACGTCTAATGTTAACTTTAGTAGTAGGTTCCGGTGTTTTGATTTTAAATGTTTGTTTAGCCAACAACTACCTAAGAGTTTAGTTATTATACTAGTGCGGTTGATAGCACCTAAACTTGTAACTTTATTATTTAAACTATGTTTGCATTTTAGGCTGCTAATATGATAAACCAATCCATAAATCCAAATACGATTAGCAACAACGACTATGATGGGTTTATTGATAAATGTTAAAGGCGATTCAGATGATTCCTAAATTTAGAAGACATGAAGATATAGTGCAACGCACGTACGGGCCAGGTTAGCATGCAGGTTTCTGACGTGTATGACAATTTAAAAATAATGAACAAGACCAGAAAAATAATTTTAAAGTTGAGACTGCTTATGAAACTTCAGGCAGGAATATGACGCGTTATAAACCTTCCATAAGAAGTTCTTGCATGTAGCTTGATTTACTTATCTACTTACGCCTGCCACTCCTCGTGAAAGAGCATAGGCCGCTCACCAGAGTTCTCCGTCCAATCCTGTCCTGGGCAACCCTTTCCAGGTCCTTCCAGTTGTTATTCATCCTTTTGATGCCTGCTCCAAATTCCCGGCTCATTTTGTTCTTTGGTCTTCATCCTTTCCGTTTCCTGTCAGGATTTCAAGCTAGCGCTTGCTTCGTGAGATGCAGTTCGATGATTTCCGTAATGTATGTCCTATCCATTTCCATCGTCTTTTCTTAATTTCCTCTTCATCTGGAAGCTGGTTTGTTTTCTCCCACAGTAGGCTGTTGATGATGATATCCGATCAATGGATGTTGAGTATCTTGCGTAGACAACCATTTATAAATACTTGTACCGTCTTGATGGTGGTTGTTGTAGTTCTTCAAGTTTCAGCTCAGTACAATAGGACCGCTTTGACGTTCGTCTTGACGATTGTGACTCTGATATTGGTTGAAAGTTGTTTTGAGTTCCATATGTCCTTCATTTGTAGGACTGCAGTCCTTGCTTTGCCAATCCTCACATTTACGTTTGCATCTGATCCTCCTCGTTCATCGATGATGCTGCTCAAGTATGTGAAGGATTCTACATCTTCCAGAGTTCCGCCATCAAGTGTGATTGGATTGCTTTTCTCCGTGCTATATTTGAGAACCTTGGTTTTCCCCTTGTGTATGTTGAGGCCTACAGATTCAGAGACTGCTGCTACACTGGCTGTCTTCATCTGCATTTGTTCGTGCGTATGGGATAGGAATGCCAGGTCATCTGCGAAGTCCAAATCGTCTAATTATTTATGAGCTGTCCATTGTGTTCCGCGTTTTCCCTCAAATGTCGAGGTCTTCATAATCCAGTCGACCATCAGAAGAAAGAGGAAGTGAGAGGGTATACAGCCTTGTCTGACTCCGGCCCTTATTTGGAATGCATCTGTCAGCTGTCCTCCATGCACGACTTCGCACTGTAGTCCGTCCTTATGATGATGCTTTTTAGGCCCAGAACCTCTTGGCACGTTGGAGTTAATGCTTCTTTGATGCCTTTCAAATTTTCCTCCATAGTAGTTTCTTTTTCATTCAGTAGATCCTGTTAGGCTCGGAACCTGTTGTTGAGAGCTATCTTGAATTCGTTGATTTTGTTAGTATCTCGAAGGAAGGCTGTATTGAACCTTTGTAGCGCTGTTTGTCTAGTTGTCAAGTTTTTCTTTAGCTTCAGTTTTAAATTGGCTACAACTAGGTGGTGTTCTGAAGCTATGTCAGCTCCTCTCCTGGTTCTCACATCTTCCACTGTCCTTCGGAATTTTTTATTGATGCAAATATGATTTATCTGGTTCTCTGTGATGTGGTCCGGTGAGATCCATGTAGCTCTGTCTATACGTATGCCGCCTATGACCAATATGTTGAATGTACACAGATTTGTAAATCTTTCCCTATTTTCGTTTCTCTCTCTTAGTCCATGTCGTCCCATGATATTGTAGTGACTTATTTTTATCAAGAGAACGCAATTGCTTTAATGACCTTGCACGAATTCGGTTACGCTCATTAACTACAGTTGTACTCCTTTAGCACGATCATAGTATTCTTTCGATACCACGAGATCACCAACAAATACATCTCGACTACAGCCATCAACTGCTTTCTGATATCTGGCCTACAGGGGGTCTTATCGGTTAACTGGCACGTAGTCTTCATGTAATGGTGATTACAGTCAATCGCGAATCGACGCCACACTACAATATCTTCATATCCGGTGTTGTCTATTCCGACTTTGGCGTTTAGATCTCCCATGAGAATGGTGGCACTTACAAATATGTGGAAAAGCAACTAGAAAATATATACATGTTAAGCACAAAAAACCGTCCGGTAAAATAGTTGAACTCGCCTGGATTCTTTTTGAAAATTAGATTATTAAGTAGACAACATATATAACGCCATTCGAGAGTAGTACTGATGTAAAAGCATCCAGAATAAAACATGCAGTATGGCAATTAATTTCAGGGTGCTTGATGCTGTTGACGTTTTTGTCACTCGCTCGGATCAGAACAATTGAATGAATCCAGATCATTGAGTGGCTGCCATTGAACGAGCCATCTAAAGTGACCTTATGATTACAGAAAGCTTATAGCTGAAACTCACCGTATGTTTTTGTAGTGGTGTCATCCTTATTGTTTGGCAATGGAACTCGAAAATATGAAATTAAGCAGACAGTGGTCGGAAGAAAGGATATTACAGGATAGTGCATAGTTTAAAACAGGATGAGGTGTTAAGTGAAGGAACACTAAGAATTAGATCCAGATAACTACTTAGTCCTTGAATGAATTGTTAGTCAATGTACATTTACGTTATTTACAGGTCATATTTGCTAGAGCTTGATGCTTAGACAAGTCTATGTCGCTGAAGCATGTAAATGTTATTAAAGCTTGTTAACGAACCATCAAAGCTAATTAGTTAATATTGATGACCACTTTTTATTATCGATTGAGCTAGTAAGTTATGAGAACTAGTCAATATAACATTACGATAATACATCTGATCATTAATCAGAGGAATATTAGAATAATGGGTTTACACAAATATAATCTATGAAAAAGGTTAGAGTGGAAATACGGATTAACAACAATAGGTTGTGTTTCTCTAGTCGGGCTTGCCAATGTAGAATCATGGTCTACTATGATATTAGTACTGCTCTAATAATAGACATAATCCTAAAATTGTAGATTTTTCATGATATAACTACCTAATCTAGGAGATCTTACGTGGAAGTAACATCATCGTCTACACCAACTCACTGTATCGTAACAACTACCAATACATGATGCGGAACAAGCTTAGGCTAGAGAAAGAACAATATATTTAATATGGATAAAAGATATGAGATAACATTCCGCAGGGACCACTCCTGCATGGTCAAGCCATGACATCAGATCAACTCCGATTAATTCAACTCATTGTTCATGAACTTTCGATCGTTAGTTATTTATCCGTGTTAAATATCGCATATCCATTTTAAGAGTAGTCTCGTGTTCAGCTCTGAGGATTGTGTGGTTATATTTTATGTTACTACAGAACTACTGTTTCGGAAAGCGGCTGTTCTTTGCTGGAAGTCGCCGGACTTTTTCGATATCATATCCGTTTTGACTAAAACCTTGCTTCCGACTTGCGAACAACCTAATTTCGTCATGAGGAATTCACGTATGGAGTTATTGTACTTTATGGATTTTCTTGTCCACTAACATATTCGACTGCATGATTATGTATTTTATCACACAAGGAATATTGGCCAATTTCGTGTTCTGAATGTTCGAACTGAAACGACTAACGTTCTAAAACTCTAGACAGGGCTGTTGAAGTTACTGTGGCTCCTAAGTGTAACAGTCGGCTCGTCGAGTTTTCTGTGATATAAGCTGACCAGTTGTTGTAAAAGGCGAGCAGCGCCAAGAACATAAAAATGATCTGGTGTGGACGAATGATCAATAAAATAATTTAAACACTATGAATTTGGTATAAATGAGCAAAAATAGGTCAATTATAACAAAAAACTCAACAAAACCTATAAATTAAACGCAACGGGAAGCCTAATGAAATGCTATTCAACAAAGATCTCAGAAATAAGGAAAACCGAACATATTCACTAATTAATCCTTAATCTTTACCAAAAGACTGGCTAACATCAACCGGTTTCACCACTGATATATTGGATATTGGAAGTAACCTGAACGAGGGCGGTATACTGAATGTAACGTCACTCTTCATACAAACCTTTTATTACTTTGCTGAGGTTGCCAGTTTCTTTGTTACCTGGATAAAATAACATTTCCCCAGCATTTTTCATCATGGTGTGTTAGTTCTACTTCCTCGTGGAATGGGCACTCATTCACTCTATCACTTAGTAATATTATTAGAGGAAACTAAGAAGAAATTATCAAAATCGCTTTCATACAGTTGTAAGTTATCATATGTTTCACCTTTATCTGTATAGCTCCATCCTTACCGTATCCATTTATTATTCGGAAGTCGCTAAAAAAGGCTAGGCACTCCGAATTAAATACTCCAGATATTCAAGGTAGCAGGCAATTTAATCAAATTACTGTGGAGACGTATACAATGGGTAGGGGACCTGTATGTGTGTCAATATCATTTTCTTACAGATACCTCAGAGTCGTGGGATCTAGACAATTGCGAAGAGATAAGTTTTCTGTCGGGTAATCCAACAGTCGAAACCACTGAAGGTATCATACATATATACAAAAATCAGTACGTAGTTTCAAAACATCCTAATGCTTCTTAGGAGAGAAGTTCCACGATGTAATGACATGGTTACGAGCACTGTGCTATGTTTCTTTTCTGTACCATCTCATATAACAGTGAAAGACTTACTGAGGTTTATTTCACCTATGCGGTTTGTTTGTAAATTATAGGTAAACTTTTCAGTAATGTGATTGTAGAGCTGAAAATCGTAAAGGATAGTACTCCAAATCAGTATATGGCATTGATAAAGTTTCGTACACCTGTACGTATATGTTATTTCCGTTTTACAGCTGTAGGAAGACACAGGCCATTTTTATGATACTTACAATGGCACTTCTTACAATACTTTGGAACAAGAAGCGTGCCAACTAATGTATGTCTCACATGTAGAGATCACGCACCCTTCTACAGTATGATTACATTAACCATAACTCGTTCACACTTTCAGGGCGTTGCATTTCCCACCAAAGATTTAAGGGAGTTGCCTTCTTGTCCGGTGTGTTTGGAGCGTCTGGTTAGTTTCTGTATTTATGATCTTTTTCACTACCTTCATTCTTAAACACAGGATGAACCCGTGCAAGGGATACTGACTACGATTTTATGTAACCACACATTCCATGATGGGTGTATTTCACAGGTAGAAGATACCATGTAAGACAAAAAATTTCCCGCCTTATTTTCTAATATAGTTGCCCAGTTTGCCGTTATGTCCAGTCACCTGAAATGCTCTCTGACAGTCAGTGTGCAGACTGTGATATAAGAGAAAACTTATGGATTTGTCTCATATGTGGTCATGTTGGTTGTGGTCGTTATGGTCAAAAACATGCACAGGTGCATTTTGAGGAAACAGGACATACATTCGCCTTAGAGCTCGGCAAAACTTTGGTCTGGGATTACGCCGATGATGCATATGTTCATCGGCTGGCTGTTAATCATGAGGATGGCAAATTAGTTCAGGTCAGTAAATTTACCGTTTTTGTTTTCTTGCTATTAGTGTATTCTTTTGTGTAGCGCGAAATGTTAGGTTACTAAGATATGCGTTTGTATAAAAGTTTATTTAGTGGGTTGTATAAAAACATACGAAGTCAATGTATTTTTACCATATTCTTCTCATCTTGGAATTCTAACTTATTTGACTAGGTTATGACATTGAATTATTTACTAAAATGCTTTCTGAGCAGTTTCTGTATTTGACCCAAACGTTGATACTAATTTACACTCCCCAGATGTCCTGGTACGTCCGAGAGTGGGGAGAGTCAGCTCACCCTCTCGAAATGCTTTCATATGTCCACGCGTGTATAGCCTCTGCCAGGGAAGTCCTACTCACTGCCTCCTCGTGGCATTACTGTTGTGTACGAAATTGAGAGAACGAAAAGCGAAACTCCGACTCTCTAACCGGGTTGGTGGACACGGAGAGTCCACGTAGGGAGGGTTGGAAAACTCAGACTCCAAACCAATGGTGCACGTGGGCCCCAGTTTCCTGAAGGAACAAATGGCGTGTGAACCAATCGTTGGTCACCGGCTACCATAAGACTGCATCTCCTTACGGTGCTCCACTGCCTTGTGGATCAGACATTCAGGTCGAAGACTCCGGGTGTGGGTCCATAAGAAAACCACTTGCTTCGGTTTGGGCACCCGAGCGGTGTCGCAGCCCTCGCTTAAATCAAGTGAGATTTGGGTGGCGCATATGTATCTGGTGCTTTCTTGTACCAATATTTGTGTTCAAATAAGTAATAAATAAATAAACACACCAATCATATAAATAAGACAGGTTTTTTTCTTTAGCCTTGAATACTTTTGCCAAACCTTTTGGATATTAATGATATCTGTCCTTTGCTCGTAAGGATGAAATGATATAAGACCTTTTACTATCTTATTTGTTAAATTCAGTATACAGCTAAATTCCCGACCGTTGCTATTACCTTGACGTGGTGGTCGGGCTTGCCTATCGTGATGAACCAATCGAGTTATACTGGCTAGAACAATCGTTCCTCAAGGTCCAACCATGCCAGGCAGGTCGGTTGACAAGCGGTAAGACTAAAAGCAGCAAATCCAAGGTCCGAAAGCGAAGTCATACTGCTGACTGTACAGAGGTGTGACAGCAGTAAGATGTTTCCTTCAGACAACTAGCATGACAGCGATGCTGCCTTCCCACTAGGAAGAGTGTGGTTAGAAAAGGTCGACCCCAAACGTGCATATCTCGCCTTATCCCACGGATATCCGTCTCCAGCGATAAGGTCCCAACAAGTACGTGTGTGACTGACTTCAAGCGGTTGTCTCTAAATTCCCGACCATAGCAGATACCTTGACGCGGTGGTCGGGCTTGCCTATCGTGACGACCCAACCGAGCTATATTGGCTGGAACATATGTTCCTGTAGGTTCTACCATGCTGGAGAACGGTAAGACTAAAAGCAGTAACTCAAGGTCCGAGGGCGAAGTCGTACTGCTGACTGTAGAGGGGTGTGGCAACATTAAAACCCTTCCTACACCTCCTAATACCTCTCTTATCTCCATGACTAAACCTCCTCACGTCTCTTTATCATCTCGCCGCCAGACCAAATCATGGCACAAATCCATGAAGTCAGACAAATGGACTGAGTCATGTTGGTAGGTGTAGACTATCTAGTTGGGGACCGCGATATGATAGCAACCGATGGTTAGAGACCCTGAATGACATGGCTCAAAATCGTTTGCAATGGCGCAGGTGCATACACTCTTTGTGTTCTCCCAAATTTTGATCTCATTCCTCCTTGTCTCTTTTTTTCTCTTCCCAAATTTATTTCACTGTATTATACTCTTTAAATAACATCTCCAAACCCTAATCTTCCCGATTACTGCTTATACTCTTACTACCTCTACCACTACGGGATTTGAATCGACCACTGCATCTCTGTGCTAATGTGGTGTGGCAATTCGAACTGATGTGCGTACGTACGAAGTTCTACGTTGTTACTGACTGACTGACTGTCTCTTAGGCACTAATGAGACTCTCAGGTCACTAAGACCACCTCTAACCCAATTTCCTTTTCAGGTACCTCCAGGAGAACCCTTCCACGGTATGGGCAATCGGGAAGCGATAACTGCCCTCATACCTCTAACAGCACTTAAGATCACTGTATCCATAATCAATCTCCCTCTTCAATTCCTATTATTACTCCTATTTCAACTTTCAACTCTTCTAGGTGGTGCACTTATCTACCTAAAATACACAAATGATATAGTCCTGTTTGGTGATGACGCTGATAAAATGCAGTCTTTTGATAGCACTGAGCAACAATGCCAGGATGTTCGGGATGCGTTTCTCCCCCTCTAAATGCAAGTTGTTGCTCCAGGACTGACCTGCGTCAACACCTGGACTACTGATTGGGAGTGAAGTAGTTGAACGCGTCGACAACTTCACTTATCTTGGAAGTCTGGTCACCTTAATGGGTTGGTGTCTGACGAAATCTCAGCACGGATTCAGAAAGCTCGTTTGAATTTTGCCAACCTACTTGACCTATGGCGAAGGTGAGATATTTGTCTATCAATAAAAGGATGAGTATACTGTATGGAAGTTCGTTCTGTTCTCCGACTGCGAGACGTGGCTATTAAGAGTAGAAGATACTCTTAAGCTATTAGTATTTGACCGCAGATGCCTCAGAAATATTGCTGGCGTCTGCTGGGATCACCTGGTAAGTAATAGTGAGGTTAAACATAGGGTATTAGGGAATGATGGTAAATCAGTCGATGAGGTTGTGAATATTCATCAACTGAGATGGTTGGGCCACGTGTTACGTATGACTGAACACCGATTACCACGGCGCGTAATGCTAACTAGTGTTGGGGATGGTTGGAAAAAAGTTAGGGGTGGCTAAACCAAAACGTGACATCAGTACTTGAAGTCACTAACTTCTAGTCTTAGCCATATTGGTAGATGCAGACTACTTGGTTGGGGTCCGTGTGACTTTCGTAACCAATGGCTGGAGACTCTTGGTGACATGGCTCAGAATCGATCACAATGGCGTAGGTGTATACACTCCCTGTCTTCCCTTAAACTAAGAGATTAAAATCACTTCATATCTTTCCTTCTACTAACTAATTCTTTCTTCCTATACTATATCCTTATATGCAATCTTTCTCCTATATATTACCACCTTTGACCTAACCACTCCTATGAATCCGGTGTTCATCTTGCTGTGTTAATGAGGTATGGCAACTTGGACCGATGCACATATGTGCCTGGTCCTACGTTGTAACTGACTGACTAACAGCTAAATTATTTAACTAACCTTATCTTAATAGTATTTCTATGCTTGCAAGAATGGTTTACATGAATGTTAGAAAAAGTTTGTCGCTTATTTTCTGTTCACTAATTTTGCTATGAAACGCCGGAAGCTTCATAATGACACTACTAAGTCTAGGTTTCGCTTGATGATTCTAACTAACAAGAGAGTGGACGGGTTATTCCCAAACTTTTCTACTTCGATTATAGTCAGAGAAACAATTGATCTTAAGTAATTTTTCTGTTTTCGTCTCACCATACTTCATCGTTCAGAATAATACAGCCGTGTATAACCTGGTTTATAGGCTAATATATAATCCTTCATATAGCTGCCTTTTATTTGTTTCAGCTTGGACCCAATAATGAAACTGGTAACAAAAAGCTAGATATAATTAGCATGGAATTCAGTGCCATCTTAACAAGTCAACTGGAATCACAACGTGCATACTTCGAGTCCCAACTGGATTTAATAACTACTCAGTCAAATGTTCGTCTCGAAGAGATGGAATCCCGTGTCGAATCTGCCTTATCTGCTGCGCAAACAGCCGAAAAGAAACTCTCTGAAGTCATAAAAGAGAACTTAGTCATCAGTCGTAAATTGCAACAAGTACGTCACACAAAAATTTAACATTTCATTTTTATACAAAAACATTTAGTAGACTATTGTTTCATTCTGCCTGTTTCACTAAATATCACTTTTTGTAAATAAGTTTCGGCTCCGTACAGTAGAACTATCCTGACGTTCGTATTGATGATTGTGACTCTGATATTGGTTGACAGTTGTTTTGAGTTCCATATGTTCTTCAACTGTATGAATGCTGCCCTTGCTCTCCCTACCCGTACCTTCACATCTGCATTAGATCTCACTTGTTTATTGCTGATACTGTCCAGATACTGCTGCTACTACTCTAGCTTTCTTCACCTGCATTTTTTGATGTGTGTGAGACTGAAGGGCTAGGTCAACTACGAAATCGAAATCGCCTAGTTGCATGCAAGCTGTCCACTATGCCCAGTGCTTCCCCTGAGATGTGGTTCATTTATTATTATTATTTGAACACATAAATATTGGTACAAGATTGCGCCAAATATATATGCGCCACACAAAACAATGAGAATTTAAAGAGAAGGAAAAAGAAAAGGTAAGGAGCGTAAAAGAAAGAGAGAACAGTAACGAAGAGATTGGTGTAAGGTAGTGCAATAATAATAAGGATAATAATGGGGGAACGGAAAGGTACAATCAGAATAAGTCTTTCAGTTAAGGAAGAAACAACCACTTTTTTTATGAAGAAAGTAAAAGAAGGTTACAGCAGGATCGCCACTGGCTTCTATTCTGAGCCATATCTGATAACGTCTCTAGTCACTGTCGCACCATTTCTCGGACCCCAGCTAGGGAGTCGTGAAGGACCAACACAAGCCAGCCCTTTGCAGCTTTCTTTCATACCACGACACCATGTCATATACTGACCATCTCTCCGCTTTTTCCAGCCAGTCTCAGAGTCGGCAAATAATGTACGACGTGGAATTCCCAGGGACGACATTCGTAGAACATGTCCAAGCCACCGAAGTCGATGTTTCAAGATGGTGACACCGATTACATTATCGTCTCTGTGCCCGAACACAGGATGCCGAACCTCTGCATTACTAACATGGTGTTGCCACTGGATGTCAGCAATCCTTCGGAGACAGTGATGATCGAACACAGAGAGTCGTCTAACGTCCTCAACTCGGAGAGGCCAGGTTTCACGAGCATAGAGCAAAACTGCTCTCACCGACGTGTTGTAGATCCGACCTTTTACATGAATTGATCTCGTCCCTCACGCAACAATCAGCACTTATGCAGCTACCCAGATACACGAACTTCTCGACTACTTCTATCTGCTCACCATCCAGAGTGAGTACAGGATTAGAATCCTGCCAGTCTTGTAGAAGTACTTTGCACTTCGAAGGTGCAAAGTACATACCATACCTACGAACAAAGATTGCCAACTGATTAAGTGCGGATTTCATGGCTTGGGCATTATCGCACAGTAAGACAATATCATCCGCATACTCAAGGTCGAGAAGTCTTTCTCCAGGCAACAGATCCACACCACCATTACTTACATCCATCAGAGCTGTTTCCAGAATGTCGTCGATGGCAAAGTTGAAGAGGAATGGTGAGATTGGGCAACCCTGTCTAACCCCACTGCTCGAATGGAACAATGGAGAAAGGTGGTTTTATGCCCTCACTCTACCTGAGGTGTTTGTATATAGGGCTTTTAGGATGTTAATAAACTTCTCAGGCACACCCTTCAATAGACAATCGCAGAGAACAGTCCCGTCCAACGAATCGAAGGCAGCCCTGATGTCAAGAAACACTACGATTGTTGGCCTTTGATAAGTATGACGGTGTTCTAACATTTGGCGGAGGGTGAAGATATGATCAATACATCCTCGACCAGAACGAAACCCAGCCTGCTCCTCGCGAGTCGATCTTTCTCGGGTTTTGAACAACCTACGAAGTATGACGGAAGCCAATAGCTTGGACGCAATCGGAAGTAGACTTATCCCTCGATAGTTGTTACAGGAACGACGTGAAACCTTTTTAAAGATAGGGACAACTATCGACTCATTCCATGACGTTGGTACACTCTCTAGTTCCCAGACTTTTGTAAACAACGTCGTCAGTTCCTTAGTTAGAAAGTCACCACCATCTTTATAAAGAGCCGGAGCTAAGTCATCTGGGCCCGGTGATTTGTAGCGCTTCAAGGGTTGGAGTTCCTTGCGGACTTCCTCCTCATTTGGTGGATTAGTCGTCACCGGCCATGGAGGGCAGGACAGTCTGACCGATGTTGCTGGAGAAGCAGGCCAGTCGAACTACCGTTCGAAAAATTCTGCCCATCGTCTATCTTAGGGGAACACACCCCGAGCCCTTGACCTAAAGATCCAACCCACAAGGCAATGGAGCATCGTGAGGAGATGCAGTCTCATGGTAGCCGGTGACCGGAAATTGGTTCATACGCCATTTGTTCCCTTAGTATCCTGGAGCCCATGTGCACCCTTGGTTTGGGATCCGGTTAAAGCGCCGGACATTCGCTTTTCGTCTTCTCATTTTCGTAAACAACACCCCCGACACGAGAAGGCAATGAGTAGTACTTCCCTGGCAGAGGCTGTGTACGCGTGACCGTGTGAGAGTATTTCGTGAGGGAGGGCGAACCCACCCCACTCTCGGCCATATCAGGGCATTTGAAGGCTTTAAGGTGTCGCTGAGATGTGGAGGTTTTAATAATCAGCCAACCATCAGAGAGAGTAACCAACCTTGTTTGACTCCGATTTTTAGTTGGAGTGCGTCTATCAGCTGTCCTCTATGCATGACTTTGTAGTGTACTCCGTCGTATGAATTCAGTATGGTATTAACCATTTTCTCAGGTACACCATAGTGTCGCAGGCGTTCCAATGATGTTCTTCTATTCACATTGTGTGTCGACATAAGTAATATACACCGCAAAACTACATAACCCTAAACTTTTTACATTATTGCTGGTGTTAGTCGGTGATGAGAACTGTTCAACCGTGTTCTAATTTGGGGGACTTGTCGAGTAAGGTAGTGTCCAAGAATACTAAACGACCAGAGTAGCTGGGCTGTAATAAGAGACAACATAACACCAACCCTCCCGCTCCTCTACCGACACTTGAGACTGGCAGTAACCTCTGGAGGGCTTCAGGTGAATTTAACCTTGCATGTGCCTGAAGGAGATCGGCAGGATTCTCTCACTTGAAGTAGATTTCTTATTAATTGGTGCATGACAAGGAGCATCTGGAAACTGTAAAAAAGTGATTTCTGTGAGATTAGAACGTACGTTGACACTACTGTCACAATCAGAGACATTACTGTTGAGCTATTCAGGTAACGGTGGCCGTCAAATAGACGTGATATAGTAATAATAAACGATACTCGGTACATGCGATTAGTGGCTTAACTCATTTTAATCGACAGATTACACTTCAAAATTCAGTGATAAAGTATAAAATTCTGAAAAGTATGGTACATACAAGAGATGAAGACCATCTAACTTACACTTTTTATATTTCTAATGAATTCTTGAGAAAGGCAAGCTTGAGCTTCAACAGAGATTCGGAAGAAGCTATTATTAATACAAAAAGTAAAGATAAAGGAATTAAATGCAGACAAATGGGTAAATAAAGATCATCATTATTATCACTCTTATTACTTAACATTTATTTCCGAAATTTGCATTTTTAATATACAGATTCGATATTTATTACGTAGCAGGCTCAAATTGTAATCACACTACATCTGATACTCGGTGATACTATCCAGTAGCCTAGATTAAAGTGGAATTTAATTTGAACCTGAGTGACTCACTAACTAAGCTACAGCTCGACATAAAGTAATTACAGTGACTCCAAATAATGTATAATGATGGTAAGTACACACTCTCTTCAACACCTAAAATTACTGCACAATTGTGTGTAATTGAGATGTTAAGCGGCTTTTTTTGTCATGTAAAAGATGTACATATCCATAGATAATTAACTAGTTCGCCTTGACAACAAAAAGCAGAACAAGTAAATGAACAGAACTAAATTCTTATGAAAACCTTATGTTAGCAAATGAGTAATACTAAAATTAGAAGCCCATCACATCAATAAATTTAACATCTAATTAAATTTCTTATTTTCTGCCTAGACATAATAATGTAGTTCAGCAAAGATTTACTTAATAGTCATCATACTACAATTTTTCAATTAAAGCTATTGTAGTACTTACTAATTGTTTGCACACAATGAAGATTACAGTGATCTAAGTATATTGTGAAAAGGCAAAGTAATTTAATCATACTTAATAATTACTCCATTTACATCGATTTATTGGGAAATACTGACTATTGGATTCACAATCATCTCATCAGCTAACTATAATTGTTCTTCACTTTCTGTCTGACCCTAAACGTTTTACATTATTGCTGGTGTTAGTCGGTGATGAGAACTGAATGTGGTGATAGTCCTAACTCATAACAGTACCCCAACTACTACTCTGCAAAACCTAACTGTCTTCTTTTAATGAAAAGAATAATTCGACATGTGAGGGTTGATTATTGAAATCGAAGCTCTTATTCAATTGTTATAATACTGCTTTTTGCCATTAATTCGTTCGTAACTAGGCAGTGTTTCCTGATTGGCTGATAGGTTGCTCAAGGTCGTCAGTACATTATAGTTTTATCGTTTATAGATTAAATAAACAAACTTACCAAGCTAAGATTTGTGATAATTCTACAAAATCTATATCAGTATTATGTACGTGAACTAAAATACACTCAGAGAATTTATGTAAATATTCTAAATAGGCCGAAGTGAATTGTGCCAATGAAGAAATGGATTGAAAGTAAATTTCCTGTAAGGAATAACAACAGAACAGGAACAATTAATCAACATAAATTTTAGTAAAAGGTTTCAACAATATATTTCATCAAGTATAGACGCTTACACGTACAGGTATTCGAGTACAAGATTTAATGTGTAGCACGATAGCTTAGTATAGTTAAACCAATTGATTTTCTATCGCGGAGTTCTAAGTTCAAACGCCGTCCCATCAAAATCGGTTCAGACAGTCAGAGACAGACAAAGCTGACTCAAAGTATAGCACGCAAATTTGTACTAGTTAAAAAAATCATGTTAAACTACCTTACAACCGTTGGTAAAAGACTAGTATTTATCTGTAGCCTGCGTTCACCCGGGCATGCTGACATCCGAACAAGAATCCTAAACAAGCTCGAACATTACCCCAACACGGACCTGCAGGAAGTAGCTACCGAATGTCAAAGGTTAGTGAATCTGAAGGATGATACCTCGGTGGTAGAGAACGGCAACCAGTTCCTTCATTTCAATGCAGTCGAAAGAAAAGTCTCTCAAGGTTCCAGCTTACAGAATTATCGTAATGACAGTGACAAACCATCATCCCCATGCTGGTTATGTGGCGACTGGCACTTCAAAAGGTTTTGTCCGTTTAAAAATCATCGTTGTTCTGTGTGTTCCAGAAAAGGGCACAAAGAAAGTCATTGCAAAACCTGAAAACGCCGTCAACCGAAAGTGTATTCTGAAAGATTCAAGCCACAAACAGCTAAAGTAACAGTAGCTCTACACAAAGCTGGCACACATAACCGCAGAAAGTATGTTTCTCTCAAGAGTAATGGGTATGATGCCCGCTTACAGTTAGATGCAGCTTCCGATATAACGCTTATAAGCAGGAGAACGTGGGGACCGAGATTATATTCAACCCATCAATCAGCACATAGTGCATCCGGGGGAATTCTAAACATTGCTGGTGAGATTCATTGTGAAGACACAGTCAAAGAGTTTACGGAGAAGGGTGTAACATTTCTGACAGACCGTCCATCACTCGACTTATTGTGGCTTGATTGGATAGAAAGGTTGAAGTTAACAGACCACCCCATAAAATCAATCTGCAACAACGTCAGTACGTCGAAAGTTGATGAGAAAAACTCAATGGAAGCATTATCAAAACGACACAAAATGGTATTTAGTTATGGTCTTGGAGAATGCACTAAATTTAAGGCTGCTTTTACCCTTCGACAGGGATCAAAACCAGTGTTTCGTCCTAAAAGACCCGTACCATATACTGCCCTCCCAGTGGTTGAACAATAGCTAGAACGACTTCAGGAACTGGGTGTCATTGAACCGGTGAGTTTCTCAGAATGGACTGCACCGATAGTAGTAGTAAAGAAGACTAATGGTAGCGTCCGTTTATGTGCCGATTACTCAACCGAGTTGAATGAAGCCTTAGAAACTCATCAGTATCCATTACCCTTATCTGAAGATCTTTTGCTAAACTGAATAGAGGTAAGCTTTTTGCAAAGTTGAATTTATCAGAAGCTTATTTTCAAATCCCTGTTGCTGACGAGTCTAAAAACCTGATCACCATAAACACACAAAGGGCCTATTCCGGCACAATCGACTACCCTTTGGAGTGAAGACGGCCCCATCCATATTTCAGTAAGTAATGGATAATATGCTACAGGATGTTCCAGGTGCTGCGGCTTATCTGGATGATATAATAATTATGGGAGTAGATAGAATAGACTTAGAAAAAAGCTCGACCAGGTGCTGTCGCGAATAGCCGAATATGGACTTCGGCTTCGTCCAGAGAAATGTAACTGTTGTATGCAAAAAGTACGCTACCTTGGATTTATGATCGACAAATATGTCAGAAGACCAGACCCGGAGAATATCCAGGCAGTCAAAACTATACCCAGACCGACGGACGTCCCCACACTACGATCCTTTTTCGGACTAGTTAGTCATTATGGAGCTTTTATTCCGAACTTTCATCAATTACGTGCCCCCTTAAATAACCTTCTGGTGAAGAATGTAAAATGGAATTGGTTTGCAACTTGCCAAGCTGCTTTCGATGAAATCAAGAAAGTACTAGTCTCGGGTCCGCTGCTCACCCATTACGATCCATCCTTACCCATCATAGTAGCATCAGACGCTTCAAACTACGGCATTGGAGCAATCATTTCTCACATCATGACAGATGGATCTGAGAAAGCGATATCAAATGCGGCTAGATCGGTAACGTCAGCAGAACGTAACTACAGTCAGATCGAGAAGGAATCATTGTCGGTTATCTTCGCTGTAAAGAAATTTCACAAGATGATATTTGGACGTCAGTTCACTCTATTAACTGACCATAAACCATTACTAGCCATTTTTGGGTCGAAGAAAAGTATACCTGTATACATGGCAAACAGACTGCAACGTTGGGGATCTACACTCTTGGGTTATGACTTCAAGATCAAGTACCAGCCCACTACTGATTTTGGACAAGCTGACGTTTTATCTAGACTGGTTGGTTCACAAGTAAAACAGGAAGAAGACACTTTGGTGACAGCAATCGAGACAGAAACAGAAGTACATCGAGTATTGGAAAACGCAGTCGATGGTTTACCAGTTACTTTCAAGGACATGAAAGAAGCCACGGAAAATGATAAGACTTTAAGAGAAGTTAGTGATTATCTTCTCACCAAGTGGTCGAACAGTCGTTTTCAAGGAGAAATGCTACAATATTTTCGGCGACGGGACTCACTCATGATGGTTGACTCATGTATTATGTTTTGTGGCAGAATTATTGTTCCAAAAACATTACGCTACAAGGTTCTGAGACAATTCCACAGCGGTCATCCTGGCATCAATATGATGAAAGCATTGGCTCGAAGCTAGGCATACTGGCCTACGATGGATCAAGATGTCGAAACCAGATGCCGCAATTGTTCATCGTGCCTGCAAGCAGCTAAAAGTCCATAGAAGTGTAAACCGCAACAATGGGAAAAGCCCAATAGTCCCTGGGAAAGGCTGCATGCAGATTTTGCCGGTCCACTACGAGGAAGAATGTATCTAGTCATAGTAGACGCACTCACAAAACGGCCACAAATCTACGCCATGGTAAATTGCACAGCCAGTGAAACAATCAGCAAGGTATCCGAACTGTTTAGATGCTTTGCAGTTCCGGAGACTTTAGTGACCGATAACGGCTCACAATTCACTGCAGAATCATTCAAGCACTTCTGCAACGTTAATGGGATTGTACATATACGATCTCCACCCTATCACCCTCAATCAAATGGCCAGGCAGAGCGCTTCGTGAACACATTCAAAAGGGCACTACTGAAAGGGGAAGGACAGGGGACAAGTTAGGTAATTACGAAATTTTAAACAGCTTACAGAACCGCGACGAACCTAAATATCCCAGATGGGAAATACCCTGCTGAAGCGATGTTCGAGAGAAGCATCCGAACTATATTCGGCGTCATGTTACCACCTAAACTAATGGATAGACGCAAACAAAATCAGAATATTCGTAGTTTTAACGTCGATGATAAAATGCTCGTCAAATCATACATTGGGAAAAATCGTTGGGAACCAGGAGTCATTGAGAAGAGAATAGGGAATGTTTTATACAAAGTGCGTGGGACCTTCGGAATGTGGATTAGACACATTAATCAAATACAAAGAGAGAAAAGGACTCTAGACACGGTAGATAGTCAAGTAAGGCTTCCGCTAGATATAATTACAAATACTCCAATGACAGAAACCCCAACAGACACTCATAGATGCTGAATACCAAGAAAGTCCGGACGCCACAGAAAGCCAGTTATAAAGCTGCAAGTAGATCCGAAAAAGAGGTCTTATTTTTTGAAAGTGGGAAGGTGTTGGGTGATGTAGAAAATTTCTCGCGAAAGACTACCGTGTATGGTAGAAAATGAGGAGAGTTTGCTATTAATCTATCTTATCTGGCTAGAGTTATAAATGCTTATTGATTAACTTCGTATGTATTCTGAAATCTAAATCACTGGAGATAATTAACGTTACTTCCTCACGAGATTTTCGAAACCAGGTACACAAAAAGATTGAAGTTACTTTAGCACGGCTGAAAAATTTACTGGTTTTGAAAATCTCGTGAGAAAGTAAACTTAATTATCTTTCGGGGTTTAGACCTCAGGAAATATACAAAGTTAATCAATGAGAGTTTATAATTGGAGTCAGATAAGATCGATAACTAGTAAAATCATTTTTAGAACTATCGATATTACTGGACGACAGGCTTGAGGAGAGCAAGGGTGTGAAAAAAGTTTTTTTAGTGCGTGGGTTGGTAAAAATACAAAACTCAAAGCACAGTCTTTTAAATGCTATTCGTGGTCAAGTTATATTGATAGTTCTAACAAGGATTTTACTGGTTGTCATGTTTTAATACTGACACAAAAACCAATAATCTGTGTGATGATGAATATTTTTATAACGATGAGCTCGATTAATCACCCCATTGGTAATTCAGATTCATGCTGTTTCCATTATCGTTTCTGACACCATAAACGCTCAATAATACGGAAAGAAACTTCAAGAGGGCAACATTCAACTCAAATATGTGTTAGGTTGTATGCTGCATGTAACTGACTGGATCATAGTATTATCTCTAACTTTACAACTAATAACAATTCTCGAAGTGAAATGATTTCACTTTACTTTTTGAACTCCCTTGTTTTGTTCAGATTTTAACCAGTTATAATTAGCACAAACGTGTGTTACCCCAAGTCGTCATGCCAAATTTAATAAAGAAAATGTATGAAATAAAACCTAAATATTTAGTTTTGTAAATACCCAAATGATGACTAGCATCTTGTCCGAAGTTCAGTGGTACTTGTAGCCTGTTGGTAAAGTTGTACGTTACGATCGTCAAACTGAATGGTATAACATTATGGTAAAATCAAACTGGATGGTCTTATTTTTTAACTTCACGCCCTAAGCTTATTCTTATGTAATTACATCAATACTTGTTTCTTTTATTTTGATATGAAAGATAAACTTATTTTGAGATATCACGAAAATGCAACCAACAATCCATGCGATATGCAATCAATTTTTTAAAATATAAATATATTGCACAAACTTACCTATTGTTCCCGAAACATTTGATATCTCTAAAATAATCTATTTTAAGGCAACATCACTAGCTCAACGTTTACAAAAGGATTTGGAAGAAGAACGTGCTTTAAATCGAAGTTTACTTATAAATGAGAAAACCTGGCGTGAAAGAACAGAACAAGCGGAATCGGAAGCGAAAACAGCTCGTGCAGAATGTAGGGAATTACTATTAAACTTGGAATTACGAGATAAATTAAATGAATTAAACACAAATAAAGAGGTAATCTCTCTCTCTCTCTCTCTATATATATATATATATATATATATATATATATAGTTGTACTGTCTTATATTCTTTGACTGGAATGTCCAATTAGTAGAATTTTTCTTAGCTCAAAAAGTGTAGCTTATGATCGAGTATATGGACTCTGTTAGTGACTAGTGAGTTACAGTTACATCATAAATTTCTTTGGAATTACACTGATTAGTATACATAGTCACAATAGGAATTGTAACTGAAGCTTGCAGGGATATGTATAAATATAACCGTGACCTGCGGAGGTCGATTATGCTGTAATTATGATAATTATCATCAATGGTACTAGGGTAATAGATGTTGTCTGCTAAACGAACGCCTAATCCAATTTCTTAGCCTCTTCTAATAACCCTAAATCTACACGGTAACTTAAACATAAGAGAAAAAACATGAACTGCGGAAAGAACACTTTACTACAAGATTAGTTTATACACAGAACAACAAGGATGTCTTTCTTATCCAACCCTTCCTACTTTTGTTCTTTATGGCGTTGTTGAGGGTTTCCGTCATTGGAATATCTGTAATTATCTCCAGTGGTAGGTTCACCTTCCGTGTTTATTGTCCCTTTATCTTCACGGATTTGGTTTACATATCCGGTCCACATTCTAAACGCCCCCACGCACTTTGGACATAACTTTTCCAGGTATTTTTTTTAATAATTTCAGGTTCCAATCGAATTTTTCCAAGGTATGATTTGACAACCACTTTATTCCCCCACATTGAAACTTAAAATATTCTAATTTTGTGGCCATCTATTATTTTAGGTAGCAACGTGGCGTTGAAAATAGTCGAAACACTTCTTCCAAACATGACTTTGACAGTGCACTTTCCATCTGGGACAGTGTGGTTTGGACTAGTTCTATAATTTGTTAAGAACTTTGTGATTACCCGACGTGTCCCTTCGTCTCTTTTTTAGTAATGGTCGGTTAAATGTGTCGTCAAAATTTTCTATTTGTCCGTTCTAGTGAAGGTGAAAGGTGGTGAACGTAGGCGCGTTATTCCGTTCATGCCATAGAAATGCTTGAATGACTCTGAAATGAATTGTTAACCATTATCGGCCGCTAAGATCTCTGCTACTCCGAAACAGCGAAACAAATCCGATAACTAGCCGGCTTTTTCATTGGTTATACAATTTGACATAATATATATTTCCGGCCGTGTTATGAATAGATCGACAATGATTTAAAACATTTTCCTTTGTACTGGGCCAGCAAAATCTGTGTGCAGCCTCTCCCAGGATCTTTTCGGCTTTGGCCGTTGTTGTGGTTCATTTTTCTTTCGATTTCTTGGTGCTTGGAGGCACGATGGACAATTTCGGCATGCATTTTTGATATTCTGGTTTATTGAAGCCCAGTAAACATAGCTCTATACCAAAGGTTTCACGTCGTAGATGCTGGCATGACCGCTGTGGAATAATTTCAGAACATTCTGGTATAATGTTTTTTGAACAACGATTCTGCTACACGAAACATAATACAGGAATAGACGATCATAAACGATTCACACCGACGCAAGTACTGTAGCAGTTCTCCTTAAGAACAATGGTTAGGCCGTTTGGTGAGATGATTCCTAACTTCTATCAACATCTTGTCATCTTCCGTGGTTTCTCTTATAATTTCGAAAATAACTCATTGTCCATCAACTGCGTCATTCAACTCTAGACGAGCTGTTTCAGGTTCAATTGCTGCTACGAGAGCATCTTCATGTTTCGTTTGTGAACCAGTCAGTCTTGACAGAGTAGTATCTGTTGTCGAAAATGAATAGAAGGCTGGTACTTAATCTTGAAATTGTAACCCGTGAGCGTGGTTTTCACCGTTGCAGTCTGTAACTATGTAGACAGGAGTCCACTTCTCTTACTCAAATACGGTCAGCAATGGTTTATGGTCAGTTAATAGCGTAAACTGGTATCCGAATATCATTTTTGGAAATTCTTTACGGGGGGAACCACATTTTATTTCAACACAAATATTGTTACAAGTGGGCACCAGACACATATGCGCCATACAATAATAATGAGAATGGGAAGAGATAAAGAATGTAATGTGCGTGTAAAAAAAGGACAATAACGACCACAAATTACTGTATGGTAGTGAAATAATAATGGTAGAAACAGAAAGGTACAACCAGCAAGAATTCTTTCAGTTAAAGAAGTTACGGTCACGTTTTATGAAAAAAGTAAAAGAAGGTTACAGCAGGATCGCCACTGGCTTCTATTCTGAGCCATATCTGATAACGTCTCTAGTCACTGTGTCGCACCATTTCTCGGACCCCAGCTAGGGAGTCGTGAAGGACCAACACAAGCCAGCACTTTGCAGCATTCTTTCATACCACGACACCATGTCATATACTGACCATCTCTCCGCTTTTTCCAGCCAGTCCCAGAGTCGGCAAATAATGTACGACGTGGAATTCCCAGGGACGACATTCTCAGAACATGTCCAAGCCACCGAAGTCGATGTTTCAAGATGGTGACACCGATTGCATTATCGTCTCTGTGCCCGAACACAGGATGCCGAACCTCTGCATTCAGTCAGTCAGTCAGCTACAACGTAGGACCAGGCACATATGTGCATCGGTCCAAGTTGCCATACCTCATTAACACAGCAAGATGAACACCGGATTCATAGGAGTGGTTAGGTCAAAGGTGGTAATATATAGGAGAAAGATTGCATATAAGGATATAGTATAGGAAGAAAGAATTAGTTAGTAGAAGGAAAGATATGAAGTGATTTTAATCTCTTAGTTTAAGGGAAGACAGGGAGTGTATACACCTACGCCATTGTGATCGATTCTGAGCCATGTCACCAAGAGTCTCCAGCCATTGGTTACGAAAGTCACACGGACCCCAACCAAGTAGTCTGCATCTACCAATATGGCTAAGACTAGAAGTTAGTGACTTCAAGTACTGATGTCACGTTTTGGTTTAGCCACCCCTAACTTTTTTCCAACCATCCCCAACACTAGTTAGCATTACGCGCCGTGGTAATCGGTGTTCAGTCATACGTAACACGTGGCCCAACCATCTCAGTTGATGAATATTCACAACCTCATCGACTGATTTACCATCATTCCCTAATACCCTATGTTTAACCTCACTATTACTTACCAGGTGATCCCAGCAGACGCCAGCAATATTTCTGAGGCATCTGCGGTCAAATACTAATAGCTTAAGAGTATCTTCTACTCTTAATAGCCACGTCTCGCAGTCGTAGAACAGAACGAACTTCCATACAGTATACTCGTCCTTTTATTGATAGACAAATATCTCACCTTCGCCATAGGTCAAGTAGGTTGGCAAAATTCAAACGAGCTTTCTGAATCCGTGCTGAGATTTCGTCAGACACCAACCCATTAAGGTGACCAGACTTCCAAGATAAGTGAAGTTGTCGACGCGTTCAACTACTTCACTCCCAATCAGTAGTCCAGGTGTTGACGCAGGTCAGTCCTGGAGCAACAACTTGCATTTAGAGGGGGAGAAACGCATCCCGAACATCCTGGCATTGTTGCTCAGTGCTATCAAAAGACTGCATTTTATCAGCGTCATCACCAAACAGGACTATGTCATCTGCGTATTCTAAGTCGATAAGTGGACCTCCTGGTAGGAGATCAATACCCGAGAATTCAGTCGACGAGAGTGTTATTTCCATCAATAGGTCTATGATGAAGTTAAACAAAAATGGAGATAGTGGACTGCTTTGTCAGACACTGCTTGGGATTGCAAAATCAGATGACAGTTTGCCATAAGCTCTGACTCGACTAGTAGTGTTCAAGTAAAGAGCCTTTACAAGGTTTATGTACTTCTGAGGTACGCCTTTCAATGACAGACACTGCCACAGAGTCTCGCGGTCTACCGAGTCAAATGCTGCTTTTAAGTCAAGAAATACCACCATCGTCGGACGCCGATAGGTATGCCTGTGTTCTAGAACCTGACGAATGGTGAATATGTGGTCGATGCAGCCACGACCAGGTCTAAAGCCAGCTTGGTTCTCTCGAGTTTGTAGTTCACGAGTCTTAGTTAGGCGTTTGATAATTATCGAGGCCAGTATTTTAGATACTATGTTTGTTAAACTAATCCCTCTGTGGTTGTCACAGGATGATTTTGACCCTTTCTTATATATTGGGACGATAAGTGATTGCGACCAGTCAGATGGGATAAAGTCTAATTACCAGATCTTAGCTAAAATATTAGTCAACTTAATCGCTAAAATTGGACCACCATCCTTAGAGACCTCTGGAGCCAATCCATCTGAACCAGCTGCCCTTCCTCGTTTCAGACTAACTATAGCTTTCTCAACTTCAGCAAGAGTTGGGGGACCTACTTCAATGTTCCGTTCACACTGTCTGGGAATGGAGGGTAGTTGTAGGGTAGCTAAAGGCCAGTTGAACTGTTCTCTGAAATGTTCCACCCATTGTTCTAAACGTCTGGACTGGGAGCAGATGAGAGTATCGTCTTTTTCGGATATAATCTCACTTACACTTGACTTATTAATTCCAGTTTCTTTTATAAGTCTGTAAAGCTGTTTTGTGTTCCCTATAGTCGCCGCCTTTTCCATCTCTTTTGCTTTCGTTACCCATCACTGCTCACGGTCGTTCCTTAGACTTTTGTTTAACCTAGATCTGATTTGTTTACGCTCTTCATCGTGTTCAGAGCCTGATGGGATGAGTTTACGAGAATCCATCAGTGCAATAGACCTTGAGGAAATTTATTGGTTCTTTGTAACCCTTTGGTTTAAATCACTAATAGATGTCACTGCTGTTTCCACAGCTGATTGTATGCCTTTCCAAGCAACATCTGGGTCAGCCTCGTTTTCAGAACTACCTAAGTGTGACCTCAGTTGTTCCTGGAACTTACTTTTGGTTTTCTCGCTACTCAATTCAGTTCTAATGGGTCTTTTTACTGTGGCTTTTTTGCGTCCAGTGAGGCGCAAGCAGAGGCGTGCCCGTATTAGGGCGTGGTCGGAGTC